ACTTCAAATGTATATTACAAAAGAAAGCTGAACATATGAATATAGATGTATTTTATATCAAACAATATGGGAAACCTACTACTTCTCTGTGCCATATCCTCTGTGGTTGACAAATGCAGAGATGGTAACAATAACAGCCGGGACTCCATAGCCACCTGCCATCATGTACATGGTTTTGAAGTGGGTGTTAAAGACCAGAACTACCATCCTGAAGAGCTGTATGCCCTCCAGACACATCCAGCAAAAGGCTGCCAAGTAGAAGAAGTGCAGCATCCCTGCCACCACTGCACAGCCAACCTAATGGACAGGGAAATTAATACCAGCATGGCTCAGTGAAAAAGGGGCAAAGCATAATTAAAACAGATTGATGAAAAGGAGAAGATCTACTTTAAGGGGTAATGTTTTTGTGTGTGTAGATTCTTCCAAATCCTATTTTGTCTCCACCCACAATATCTGACAATGTGTAATTGAGAGATCTTTTCAGATTTCTGGGGAAAAGTGCATCCCTGTAAAATGATCCAGCCAATATTATTGTTATCTCCATGTAACATTAGCTTCAGATGCTGCTGCATTTGCTGTGCCTTGAAAATGAGAAGTTCTCCCTCTTTTGCTCTGATAACAACTTCAAATCTCATCATCTTTGATATTCAAAGTGTGATTTTGAATGACGTTAATGGGTTAAGAATCCTGCAATCTGCAAACAATTGAAATATAAATATCTAGGAATAGAATTGACTGTGAAGTGTTTCCATTTATTTCCATAATACTTAAAATGAGGTGTGTGGTTGCAGCTCCAACACCATTTGCAGTTTTTTCTTTGATAACTTGACAGTGCCTCAAAGATTGTGATCTACAGGTATCACGGAGGTGAAAACTGATAAATGAAAAAAGAGCTGCTGTAGAGCCTCTAATTTGGCCACATCACGATTGATTGAGACATCAAAAATTGTGAAAAAGGGCACACCGTGTCTCCTGATATCTATTCTCTTGTTTTTTTTTGCTGGTGGCAGACATTGTCAAGCTTTCAGTGTATTTACCCTGTTGTCGGTCTGAGCGATTCCTGTAAGAAATATAAGGGTGGCGATGAAGAGGCTGATGCAAAGGTGCAAATGGATGGTGGTTCTTGGGGTTTGGATGGAACGGATCATTGAGAATGTCAGGATGCAGATAAACAGGCAAATCAGGGAAAGGGATAGGCCCACCCAGGTAATCAGCTGCAACTCAAACTTGTCCTTTTGGGAGAAATCAGAATGATGTTGGAATAAACAGAAAACGGACTGAAAGTTTAAACTTTGCTTTGATTTTCTATGTCATATCAGATAATTACATATGTAAAAGAGTTTTAACCTCAATCTCATAGAGAGCCATGAGTACTGCAAAGCTGCTCAAGTGGTTACAAGAGCAAACAGTGTACTCCAGGTTAGACTCTACCACGCTGCAGCCATAAGGTGACCATGACCCCCCCTCAGATTCCTCTGAGGA